TGATAAGTAAGAGTAGTACAAAGCTTTTTTAAAATAGAATGGAAAACACAGTTAGTCTTGCAGTCTCCAATGAATGCTTTATGGTAATAGCTGCTCTTTCACGTACTCACTTTTATTTACTTCTCCTGACTCCTGTGCTCTCCTTCACCTTTGTCAGGGCTCCTGGAAGTATTTATAGGCATCAGCAGCAAGGAGTAGTGAGCTGCTACTCTTTCCTTCACCAGACCTGAAGCCTTACATATCAGTGCAGCAGCACATCTCAGGTTCTGTAATGCTCAGTGCAACGTTTTTCCTGTGGTTCTTTAAGTAATGACACCTTTGTATAGATATGAGCTAAAAATCCCCAAAACTTGTAGCACCAAGTCTACCTGTTTGTTAATGCAAGGCTTGGTTTGAGAATATGCAGTGAATTATTCCTGAAGGCGAGATTAGAATTCAGGGAGCTCTCGCTACAGGCTTTTCTATGCTCTGCACCATCAAGTATGGATTTCTTTACTGCATGGAGACAGAGAAGATAATTCTCATGCCTCTTTTGCCCTCCTTAGCTGCCCCAAGCATGCTTGCTTTTCCCCCTCAAGAAAATGACCTCGTTTCACTGGTTTAACCTGATGTGTTTACTTTGCAACAGATCAGGAGCACATACCTACACCCACTCACCACATTTCACCTCAGGGTAACAAATGACTTCTTATGAGACGTTAGTTTGGTCACCTATATTTTTTTGCACTCTGTTTTATGCCACTACTCTTCCTGTCTAAAATTATGCAGTCCATTAAAACAACAACAACAACAAAAAAATATAATTGTGAATTATTCAGGCTTGAGAGCAGGGACAAGGAAGGGAGAGAGATTTTAGCATTTTTAAATGCTAAAATGGGAATAGAGGAAAAAAGAGAGTCCCCACATCTCTTGTGAGATGGGAATCCCCCGCATGGAAAATGCAATTTTTCATGCCCTAAGCTCTGTGGCTTAGCAGCTCAGAGCACACAGTGGCACTCAGAAGCAAGTGTTCAGCTGCTCAAAATGAATATATGTGCTCAAGGCTTTCTATTATTTTGCTAAGCACCCACACACACATGAAAAAAAAAATCAACTTGCTTTTACAATAAAATAATCAGTCACACATGCAAAAACTGTTCCTAAATGTGTCTCGTGAAGGGCTCTTTAAAACCTCTGCACAGGGATGATTTTTGACTGAAACGGAGAGGTGAAGACCATGGGTGCATTCTTTCTCACTTGGTGAATGTGGATAAAAAACATCTCTTTCACAACTGTATAGCCTCTAACAGTTCAGGGATGGTTAGCCACAAATGCTGTAAAAATAATCTGGTCTTGAAATAGCAACCTTTCTCATTTTTTCCCCATGCCCTCCTTTACTGGTACATACCAGTAAAGGCATGTACTGGTATACTAGTAAAGGTATACCAGGCTTGCCCCCCAGCTGATACATATCACCATTCCTGTACTAATACTAAACAGGTACCAGTTTAACCCATCTGGGGATCTGACCCCCCTCTGCTGTCCCAGATCTGTGGTCTCTGCAGAAAGTAATATTATTTTATACAGACACAGAGGTAGGCGTCCTGCCCCCACTAGTTCATATTTAACTCTCTTTTCATCTTGTTTATTTTGCTTTCATGGTATCAAAGCAAGCTGCATACCCAGCAACAAGCTTGCAGCAAATAGGTGCATCTTATTTTTAGAAGATTACCCTTCACAGGGCACACACTACACTCCCAAGGGATTTATGAAGAGGGTCAGGTCAAAGTCTCTATAATTTGAATTTTTATTTGTGTGCTAGAAGACTTATACTTGGCTTTTCCAGTACAGTTGGAGCACACACAGGGATTCAAAAGTAGTATGGGAAGATGCAGTGTGTGGTGACAAGTAATCACCACTCAGTATTTTGTCTCTCTGCTTCCCCAGAGATGAAAAGCTCTGCCCGCCCTTTCCCTACACCCTAAAGACTCAGACAGAGGTGAGGGGGCAGAGTCCTGCCCTCTACAATAACTGAGGCTAGAGGCTTCTCCTGCCTGCCAGACTCTAAAATGGGGCAGGTGCCTCTTCTCACTTTGAGGCAAAGAGACACCACGAAGCCTCAACACTGAGCTGTCAGTCAAGAAAAGACCTAAAATGTCCTCTAGCAAGGAGATGAGGATGGTCCTGGAGGTAAAAAGAAAAAGATGACAACCTATGACTCACTCAGACACTGTTTTCTGAGGACACCTGCCAGGAAGTGCTATCTCCACAGTCTATTCAGGCTGTGCAGTGGAGATTGGCAGTGAGATCTCCCAAGACAGCTCTGAAACAAAGTTGGCTGGACACAACAGAGCAGGATAACAGGGTCCTGTCTTCTCTAACTCCAAGCACTGGGACTAGACCTTCCAGCACCAAGCTTTGTATTTCTGTACCACACCTGCCCAGGGATCTCTAACACAGCACTGCCTCAGCTTTCTCCATCCCCTTTGTGCTCTCCCAATGTACCCACAGTGCAAGACACTAAAAATGAAAATCACACAGGGGTGTCCTCAAGTACAACACCCAGAGCCACCCAAATGCTGCTGTCTGCCCAGATGGACCAACCTTGCTCCATTACTGGCTATTACAAGGTCACCATGCTTTGTGTTTTTGACTGGTGTGCCAAAAAGCTGGAACTGTGCTTGTCATTTATAGCACCTTTTCTCAGATGGCTCTCACATGTCTTTATAAACTTTGGTAAATGAGTATATAAATCACTCTGTCCACCACCAAAGTACAATCATCTCTGGGATGATACACAGCAGCTGCTGTAAAATCAGACTGCAGCTCCACACCACAGATTAGGGCAATAAAACATGCTGCATTGGCCAGCTGAAATGGATGGAGGACAGAAGGGGGATGTGGTAGAGGACATTTTGTAGTTCTAATTACCCAAGTATAAATTTGGCTGAAGAGGGTACTATGTTTAATCCTTGCATATCTGCAAATCAAAACAATCTTCCACCACATGTCAAAACAATCTGACTGTACCATTCCCCATGCTTTGGCTTTCTAAAGCCCTTCCTTTCTGAAAATTGCAGAGCACCTTGATAAGAGCAAAGCTGATGTGCCGCGTACAAGCAATAACCTAACCAAATTTCTTAGCAACTGACTTGATAACTGAGTCTGTAGCTTCTGTGTCCCTCCCTTCCTCTCTCTTGCATGACAACTGAACACAGCATCTATATATACCCAGTTCTAAAATAGCTTCTGCTCCTGTAACTCACAAACCATTCACATAGATCTCATTTTCTAGGCTAAAAGTAGTTAATTGCAAGTCACTGAGGGGACTGAACTGCTGTACCCTTTTCGTTATTCTGGGATGGACTCCTTGAGCACTGTAATGCCCCCTCCCACCTCCCTGCCAAATCATGAACTGTTTATAAAAGGAAATCTTTTGAAGGATGGGGCTGCACAGATCAGATCTACAAATTTCCTGTTATCGGGGACTGCAGATGAATCGTTATCCTTCTCTCCCTCTCTTCTCCTTTGCCATACAGCAAAAGCTAAACCTGACAACTCAGAAAGTATAGGAATTTATTTGAAAGGTACTTCCAATCAATATATGACATGGGACAGCATGGTTTGGGATGAGGACACCAAATTGAGTTGAGCCTGATACAGACTTTGCACAGAGCAGAAATTAATCTGAGTGCAAACTCTCTGCACAGATTTCTCTGCCACAAGTGTCCCTAGCTTCATAACCTCTCCTAGACAGTGCAAAAGCTGAAATTATTAGCAAAATACTCATAGAGAACCAAGAGAGTCAAGAATTAAGCATTTGAATTTGATTATTATTGAAACATTACTAATAGTGAATGGCAGCTCAGTTGGACCATACACAAGACAGGGTCCGTTTAGTTCTCCAGCTTGAATCAGAATCACACCCACATGTAAGCCTCTTGCACTGGCGCACACTGCAGCCTCCAAGTGCAGGGGTTCCTTTAACTGGAACTGGACCAGACCAACTGCTAAGGGAAATTTGGTAGACACAGAGCTAGACTTTAACTACCCCAGAATAAACTCCTGAAGTGCAGAGAGTGTGTGCCCAACAGCCCCCACTACCAGCTGTGCTGGATGGTGAATCTGTGCATGCAGGAGCACACTACTTGTCCGTGTACACATGCCTATATGTGTGGACTCCCTGTGTGGAATATCTTTAACGAACCAGCCAGCTAAAGACTGGTTTCACTCAGATTTCTACACACTTTCACTGAAATGTTTACTATTTCACATCCTCATCAAGAGAGAGTTGTCATATGAATGACATCACACACCTATCCTGTAGGATAGCTCTCCCAGCAATTCCCCTTTGGATTCCTAGGCTGTCAGCTTTCAGGAACTGATGAGATTAACCATACTTTCCTTGGGGTTGCATAGTAGGGTGTCCTGTGTGCAACTCTGCCCCCAGCATCACCCAGTAAACTGCCCATACTCCAGGCCACATTGCACTTTCACATCTTGGCAGGCCTTAAGGAAGTCAGCTGAACTCACCAGACATGAGGGCACAATTAGGCCTGCCATATATGAATGAAACAAGTAAATAACAAAAACGGAAACAAAAATGGCCTTGGCAAATACAGATAGTGGTGAAGTAATTTGAACGTAGTATAAGAGAATTAGATACCATGATGTTTTTTTAAAGCTTACACATACATTCTGCTGCTAGATGAAAAAAAAAAAAATATGAACATTTAAAACAATACTTTGAAGTTTATGATTTGTAAGAACACTATTTATGCTCCTACAATCTTCAGTAAAGAAAATAGACCAGAAAAACAATAGAAGCATTTGTAAAAGAGGAAAAATAGAAATGTGTAGTTTCAGAGCCTGACAACAGCTGGTTGATTTCAATAATGTAAAATATTTTTTAAAGGTTAAGCATTCACTATGACACAAAGTTTCTAGGCCATGTCTTGTGTTCATACATTTACATTGACTTGCTCCCTGCACAAAGCCCCAGACCAGCACATCATACTCACGTGTTTTGCAGAGAACTCGTCCACCTCCTGAAGAACTTTCTCCTGGCACTCCGGGTTGGTGGCCAGCAAGTAGGTGGCAAAGGACAGCGTGCTCGTGGTGGTCTCATAGCCAGCAATGAGGAACAGGAAGGCTTGGCCAGCTATCTCATCCTCTGTTAGCATCTTCTGAGCCTTTTCAGATAGGGCTGTGCCAGCCAGAGGCACCTCGTTCTGTCTGGGAGCAGCAGATGGGCCCAGCACATCTGAGCACCCAGCTGCCAGGGAGTCGGCTGAGTCACAGGCATCAAGCATCCACTGGAGAAAATCTCTGCGCCTCTGCAGGACAGGGAACATGAGGGATGGGTCACACAGCAATGCCTTCCATGGGAGATGGAAGCAGAGAGCTACTTCCTATTTATAGAGCATGCTTGGCTCGTACAGAATGGCCACCAGCCTTGCACTGAATGAGGAGGCTTCTATAAATCAGGTGGAAATGCCATAAGTAACAGCCTGTCATTGCTTTCTTCTCAGTGAGATGAGACTGATCTGCCCCCAATTCACAAGAGGTATGTGATGTATCCTTCACAGAGGATTCCTAATGGCCAGCTCTGCACAGAGATTCTTTTATTCTGAGGCTGAGTTCTTGGCACTTGCTGGGAATCAGGAGATTGACACAGACACCTGCCAGATGGAGGCAGCACAAATCATGCTTGGAGGAGCTGGTCCATCTGCTTGGATGGACCATCCTCATTTGTTCTTATGGTCCAAAGCATGGAACTCACCATCTACATTCAGGGTTGCTTCTACATTGCTTTCTATATTAGCTTAGTGTGACAGGGCTGGAATCTAATCTCAGTAAATTGGGACATCTTTTTACGAGAAAGTACAGTTATGAACACTTGTAACAAGATAGTCTTTTTTAAAACAATTTTTCAATAACATATTTGCAGAACCATATTGAAACACTAAGCATTCCCCTACCACAAAACCTGTTTGGGCTGCTTGTCTTTGCAAAATGCCCGCTGAATGATCCTCCTGTTATGAGAATTGTTTCTTTCACACTAGTTTCTGACACAAAAGCTCTAATAAACAGACCTATGGCCAAGAGTGAGCTGACTCTCAACCAGTGTGGACAGCAAGCTTGATTAGGCTTTGAAATATAACCCCAAAGGTTTGAATTGACTTTTGCAAGTGGGCATAATAGAATTGTGCTGAACCTAAGCCATAAGGCAGTGTGATTGATTTTCAATTCCTCAAATACCAACAGAATACATGATAGCTCAAGGACTCAGGAGTGACTGCAGTGTGAGAACATGACAACTTGTGCAGTGGGATGGACAAAAGAAGGGACCAAGCTTTTCTTCAAAAGAAAAGAATGTGATGTAAACTGTATTTATCTGTTAAAAATTAATCATTTGAATGATTTCTTGGATCTGATGTTTGAGAGATAAAGTAGAAAAAAGAAGGGCTAGAGAAAAGGACAGGCAAACAAGATAAGAGTAAGGAAGAAGTAATTAATTATAAATGTCAGACGACTTAATCAGATTATTTATTTTTCGCACGACATGGGGAAAGAGAGCAATGAGACAAGAAAACAGGAGAAATACTCAGTGTCCTGTGCTTAGCTCTGCTGCCAACAAACTGTTCTGATCGATCTACAGGCACAGAGGAATGGTTATTTTGGGGTTTGAATAACACAGGGGATTGGCACAGTGCCTCTTTACCAGCTCCTTCCCTCCACCCTACAGAACCTTTCCATTTTGTACCTTGTACCCAATGAGCATCCTGCACCCTGGTACACCCAAAAATCAATGCTCTGGATAGCAGCCAGTGCCTGCTGAAGGACTCTGCACATTCACCAGTCAGACTGAATCACCCCCAAGGCATGGGAGACGTGCTTTTCCACCAGTACGTGAAGGCACACAAAAAACCTGTTACAGACATTGTGCTCTGCAAATGAGCTGCAGCTCTGAAAACACTTCCCTGTGCCTAGACTTAGGCACAATTCCCACCAGCATGATAGGAAACCTCTGCTCCATTATGTTCCTGTAGATTGGAGGAAGTAAGACTTCATGCAGACTTCAGCTGTGAATAGCTCAAAATCTCGTTTAATTTTTCTGAGAAGGAGAAGTTTATTCACATCCTGGGAGTTCACGTATTGCACAACTCAGAGTCCAACTCTTTGACATAGCCTGTGCTTCAGTGATTTCCCTGGTACATATATTTGTATTAGGCCATTTCTAAAATTGAAAAAACCAAGCAAACAAGGAAAAAAAAAAGCTAACCAACCAAACAAACNAACCAACCAAACAAACAAAAAAAAAAATCCAAAACCAAACAAATAAACAAACAATAAAAAAACAATAAAAACAAAAAACCAAACCAAGAGAGTCCAGTTCCAGTGTGTTCATTAGTGTGTGGATAAACAAATTCAAAGTAGTAATGAATCACATCTGTAGAGACAGTCTCTTTATCTGCAAGACTAGCCACTATCACCCAAACTACCTTCATAACATAAAAACGTATAATTACATTCCTATTCAGTGGAACTGTAGCACTGTAGCATCCTGCAGCTCAAAAGGTGTAGCATTTGCTATGGTTCTGCACCCATCCTTCTCTAGCTGTGAATTTTCTTGTACACAAACCCATTGCCCTCTAAGGCTTTGCTGTTTCCAGTCATGAGCTGTTAGATGAGCCTGGTCTTATATTTAGACAATACACTCTCTGGAGACCCTGTAAGATGTTTCTCCAGCCTTAAACAAAATCAGGTCCTGGCCTTATACAAAGCATCGAGTTATTGCTGTGATAGCAAAGTAATAACCATAATGACTACTGAATAGAATTTCATTCATGAGAATTTTTGCTGAAAGCAAACTTAATGAATACCAGCACAAGTGAATATTCCCAGGAATGTGCTCTGAAATGCCTCTGTGGCCATTTTGAGGAGCTCTTTTTATTACTCACATAATATATTTGGTTAGGAATTTAAAAGCTTGTCTTGTTGCAGAATGTTTTTAAGGTCATCCTATCCAGAAAAAACTGGATACCTGATCTGTTCCATGTAACTTGCTCACAGGTGAGCGGGGGTTGCTAAGAGCAATGCCTTCATAAACAAACCTTGCAAAAACAACATTCATTTGTAAAAACAACTTGAATAATGGTGGGGGGCGGGGGGGAAAGCATAACATTAGAGAGAAGCAAGCTTTCTTCCAAGATAATTCTACACATTGGAAGGAGCTATATTTCAGCAAAGCTTCTCTTCCTTATGCTTCATTCTGCTTCACTTTAGGCATCAGTATCGAGTGCCACATAAAAAATCGTCCTCAACCCAAGCGAGAGAAAAGATTTCCAGGGTTATAACAAGTCATAATGAAACATATTTTTTTCCACACCATCAGGATGGAAAAATCGCTCTGATTCCAAACCTTAACAATGGCAATAAAGGCAAATACTAGCATAAACCCAAATATAATTGGATTGTTAAGTGCTAGAAATAAGGAAAAAGCATCTCAAGAAAATTCACAGGGGGGGTTTCTCCACTTCAGCTGACAGCAGAAGGAAAAAAAATATTTACAAATTACATTATTTTCTTAATTTAACAACAGACCAGGTACTTACAGTGCCACTGCACAAAAACATTCTTTGGTCATCACATCCAGCTGCTGGCTTCCTTTTTCCATTGGGGACATTTGTTTGATATTCCTCACAAAAAGCAGAAGCCCATAATAGCCTCCATCCTGTCCTCTGACACTTGCATAGTTATGTTACAATGGCCTCAGAGACAAATTCCTGCCACAAAAGAATGGCGTGCTAATGCGATGGACTCTTGATTTGCCCCTGTACAACACAGACCCTGTCATTAAGCCAATGATAATTGAATGGAAAGCTAGGATTTGAACAAAAACCATATCATTTGAATGCAGCGTGGGACAGGGCGAATGTCTAACTTGGCGGTGACACAGACATCCCCTCTGAAATATATAATAAGACAAGCTCCGCTTACAGCTTCCCCAAGACAGACACCTCGCAGTATATTTCCTGACACCAGTGTTCTGGGCCGTATCATTCCTCTCATTAGTCTCCTTAAGCATCACCTGGCCACGCAGAGAAATGGCTCTGCACGGAGGCGGAACGAGCGGCGCGCTCGCGCTGCGGAACGGACCCGCGCCGTGCCGGGCAGGCCAGGCAGCCAGGATCCACCTCCCCTCCTCGAATCACGGCTCCCAAGCTCTGCAGCTGTCAGAAGGAGGGAGATGTCCCACTCACACCCGAGATGCAGCATGACTTTTCTCACAGGAGGCAGGGTGATGTCTCCAGCTCTCTCCATCCTAAGAAGGGAGTTGTGGTTTCGTATCTGAGGCTGGCATGGCAGCTGACCTTCTGGGAAATTCACCGTGCTTTGGGGATCCAGGAGACCCTTGGGTCATGCTTTTGGTAGAAAGATTAAGCTGTTCAACTGTAGGAAATTAATTTTATAGATAATTCTCAAATTCTTAGTTAGCTTCTGATTGTGATAGCATGAATTATAACATCTTTATTGTCTCACCCTTCACATAAGACTGAAAATAAAAGTTTTTAAAACCTCTCAGTTGCGCTGTCTCCGAGTCAGAAAATAACTTAATCCAACATTCACCTTCTCTGCAAGCTAAAGTAAAAAATTACTTAAGGAAAACTACCAAATGATATATCCATTTGAATTTTAGTTCCTAATGTTTTGATTTCAATCATATTTTCTGCAAATTATATTCAATTTTTGTACCACTCTGATAGTTCAGATCTGCATTTTGAGTTCTAAAGAGCCCAGAAACACAAAATCTAGTTCATGATGAATCAAGGATTCAAAATAAATGACATAATTGCTTGATAGTCTGTAAAGCACTTGCTGTGGTTTAAAAGTCATGCAAATGTGATGCTGCTAATATAATACAAATTACAATAAACTGTAGAGTCCTTCCCAGTCTTTCTCAAATGCTCAGATTCAAACTCAAAATGATAGATTTCAGAATCCTTAGCTGTCAGGTAGAAAGCTTGCATCTCATTTCAGCAAACTTGTACAAAAACTACTAAGTCAATGTATATCCAGGAAGCTTTTTATAAGCTAGATTTGGCAACCCTCTTTTTAGGTAAGGCAAACCTGTGCCACATTGCAGTGGCTTCCCAGATCCTTTAGAAAAAGAAGCACAGAATGCAGTCCCACTAAAACTATTACTTAGCCAAATTTCTTTGAAAGGATCAAATTCGACCTCTAACGCTTGCAGGCTTCATTTGGTTTCTCAGTTAAATCACAAAAGAAAAGCCAGTTTCTCTGCCAATACATCCAATTCCAAAACATTTCA